GTATTAATTCAATTTTAGGAAAAGGAATTTAGCAGAATTACTGGAAGTGTAAACATACCATTGCAGAGGCTTTCATATTGGGATTAATGTGGCCAAGATAAATTCAGTCTGGATGGATTTGTGTTGGGGAGGTTGATCTAGAGCCTGATCATATTTAATCAATTGTTTGTCTATGGGAAAAGATTTATTTAGATGGAAAACCTGAAACAGTATAATTTAAAAGTTAAACAAGAAAGGCAAGGTTACAGGCACCATCATACTTGCAGCCAGGTCGACAGTCACAAGTTTTCTGATGTCTACAATGGCAGAGGTGATACATAAACTCTCTGAGAGCTTTTTGATGGTGCTTTTCCTTAATTTAGTGTTAAATGATGCTCTCCGCAAGGCTGTGTGAGCCTGGAGAAGCTCGGCTTTGGGAGACTGGAGAGAGAGCAGGACGTGGGCAGCAGCTTCCTCACCCCAGAGGCAGCAGGCTCACCAGGAGCAGCTTGGGGCTGCAGCTCAAGGCCTTCAGCTGCTGGGCTTGGGAGAACCCGGGGTAGCCTGGGGATGGTGGCATTGGTTAAGCAGGACACAGCTCTCTGCCGGGCCTGGAGCCTTGGTGGGGACAGGTGGGCCCCCCAGGAGCAGGGCAGAGGCAGCTCTTTGATGTGCAGACCAAAGGGAGGTGCAATTTGGAATCTGGTCTCAGTGAGAATTTATTTTAGAGGAAAATGTAGACTTTCAAGAGCAAACTGACCTCATTCCACTGACTATGGTGAAAGAATCCTGGACCACATAACTCGTGTTTGCTGCTGAGTTGTGATTGCCTGTGACCCTGGGCTGTGATGGAAACAGGAGCACCTGTCCTCCCCCAGGTCACAGAGTTAGCCCAGAGCGTGTCCTGGGCAGAGACCCCACGGTCAAGTTCAGGAGCTCCTGTAGGGATTGCCTTCCTAAGGGAAAGTGACCTATTCAAATGTAAAGTGACAAACTAAAACCACAGTGCATCTGAAAAGGAAACCCTAAAAGCAATTAGGAGGGGCCGGGAATACAGCTCAGCAGCCCAGCGCCTGCCTGGCAAGCTCAAGGTCCTGAGCTGGTGTCTCCTACCAAGAAACCAACAAATTAGGAAGGAACTGGGGATTTAGCTCAGCAGCACAGTGCCTGCCTGACAAGTGCGACTTCATGAGTTCGATTCCTGGTACCAGGAAAAAAAACACAAACAAACAAAAAAAAAAACCAAATTAGGAGATACCCTTGAACACAGAGTTGTAATTTGACTAAAATAAGTATGTTGTTACTCCACATGTGTAAGTTAGTGATTTATAGCCATGTGATGTTGGTAATATTATAACATATTAAATTTAGACTTAAGTAATACTGGTTGAGTCCTTTTAATTTCAACAATCTGTTGGAGGAAAGTGTTCATTGTGATGATACTTTGCTGTATATATAATAGTTTCAGTGGGTGAATTGATTCTTTCATGGAATAAACTGAATGAATCCTAAGTAGATGAAATAGAGTAATTTTAACTTTAATGTACAGATCCAGATGTAGGTATAAAAGCATCTCTTTTCCAGGATCCCTAGCTGCACGTTTACTACCAAGAATTCAGAACCTTCCTCTGAGCCAAGGTGCTTAGATGTGTTACCCTTCAATCCCAAGTGTAACCTTGTGTCACAGATTCCAGCATCACGGCAATGTTAGAAGTCAGATGTATATTCCACCCAGTTAATGTTTTCATGACTTTTAAGAGATCACCGAAGTTACTAAGTGTCAAAGATGTCACTTAAACCCAGATCTGCACCGTCCGTCTGGAGCAGGTCGTCCTCATAGCTCATATTTGTTCCCATATCTTGACAATGAGGAAAATATCACTCATGTTGCTCTACCTTGAGAGAAGCTACTGACTGCCTGACTGAGTGAACATGAAAGAGAACCACATATCACAGAGGATCTCTCTCTCTCTCTCTCTCTCTCTCTCTCTCTCTCTCTCTCACTCAGACTGTTCTCATCCAATGGACGACCCACTACCTAATTTATATAATGATTAACAAATTCACTTTGTAACTGTGGAGGCCAATAGCAAAATAGTGCGTAATTACACATGGATGGAGTTTTAGACTAATTTATGCATTTCACCGAATGTCCCACTCTGAGTGAAATTCTGCTACTTCCCTCTGAAAATTTTACTACTTACTGGGGAATCTGTTTCCCAGCCTAGAAAGAGATAACCATAGAGCTGACAGAAGTTTCAAGCCTGGGAAATTTTCTTTGAAATTGATCAAAACTGTTTTAATGGTGATACTGTTACAGACAATATTTCAATAAAAATATTATAGGCAGTCAGACAGGGTCAGGCCCTGAAAGGAGACTGCATAAGAGACAAAACAAGATACCTGTGGGCCAGACCTCAAGACAAAGGACTAAACAAACACACCCTCTTACCTCCCAAGGGCTGGACTTCCGGGATTGACATTCGAAATAGGTACCAATCACCTTGAAGAGTCCCTGACCCAACCCCTCACAGGAAAAGCCCCTGTTCTGTATTCATGCCTGCTTCCTACCTGACTCGCTTCCCCATTTGATCCTGGTGTAATCAATTTTACCTGAGAAATTCTTATTGGCTGATGTAGTTTTGTCCATTTTCCCTTACCTTGGACCCACCTCACCTCTCGGTTTTGCTCTGTAAAAGTCCCTAGAAAAGACAGCGTCTGGGGTAACCCACTCTGGCCCCCTGCTGTCCCTCTCTTGGACAGAAGCTTTCTTTCCCCCAAAAGACATATTCTGCTCTTAACCTCTGCTCCTAACCTAAAATTCATCCTTCGGTTTTAGGGAACACGAACTTGTCCCAGATACCGTTCAAGGTGGGAGTTTCTATTTTCCTGTATCAATGTGATGTTACATTTTCTAGCACCTACCTAATTTTTGGACTCAATCACCTGTTCCGTGAGTTTCTCCTCTGATGAAACCAGAGCTAAGCTGTACAAGCACCTGCCTGGCAACCCTAAGGTCCTGAGTTTGAGTCCCAGTACCCTAAAGAAAGCGTTCAATGCACATCTATCTTGAGATATCAGTTATCTCTCTTGCTCAGTTCATCACAAACCATGGAGCAGGCAGTTGATTACTTCATGAACAAAAAGACACTGCTCTTTGTCCAGTATGCAAACCACCAACTCCCAGTCCTCGTATGGTTCACACAAAGTGGCTTGTTTTTCTCTACAGCCCAACACCCTTCCCCATGCTATCAGTACAATTATTTTGTAAAAATTAGCAGGGAGATATTTCAGTTGTCTCTAAACAATATTTCAGATAAGAAAGAGGCATTCAATTTTACATGAATTTCATTTATCTTACATCTGTAAAAGTGCATAAGCTGTGGGTTGTTATTCTATTTCAGAGATTCAAACACTGCTTCTCATGTATTGGATAGTCTGCTGCTGCTTTACCAAAGTATGTGACCCAACCTTTCCCCCTTCCTACCTACAGAAAACTCATCCCACCCCATAAGCTATCCCCTTTGACAGGAGGAACCTTTAACCCAAGACTTGAAGCTCAGCACTGATGGACAGAGGTGGACTGCTATTCTCTGAGCAATGCAATTAGAACTCATTGCAAAAATTGTATTGTGTGTATGACTGTGCTCATGTGAAATTTTGATTATGAAATAGGATCTACTCATTTTTTCTTTTAATTTTGGGAGTGATCATTCCCATATTTGGGAAACTAGGTGAGCAGTAAATACTAATCAATACAGTCTTCTCAGAACATTCAAATGGTTCTGCTGAGATAGGGTTGAAGATTCTTAGTTCATTACCACACACTCAGGTGCGGGTCTAACAAATGCCCAGCAGAACCTGGAATAACTGACAAGATTAGCAGTCAGAGCACAGAAAGGGGGTTCATCTACCTCGGGCCAGAAGAGGATGTGTCTTGGATGTTCAGATCATGGTATCAACCTTTTAAATTTTCCCTGGACTAAAAATGTAATCCATATCTTCTAGTGTCTCTAAAATAATCAAGCAGATTTCTGATCGTCACCTTAGAGTATGTCAGCTGCACACAGTTCAGCAGGTTAGGCCCCATATTAATCTGTTTTGTTTTGTTTTTTGTTTTTTTTGTTTTTCTCCGGTACCGGGAACCGAACTCACGACCTTGCGCTTGCCAGGCAGGCGCTTTTGCCGCTGAGCTAAATCCCCGGCCCCAGGCCCCGTATTAATCTGAACCTGATGCTTATTCAATCCCAGGATGACAGAAGCCTGGCAGCAGAATAAGGACCAATGGGGTTCCCATGTCCTTGCCCCTCAGTCTTCCTAAATAACTGATCTCTTTATGTGTTTCGGCAGCAAAAGGAAAATAACCTATGAAGAACTAATTTTAAAATATCTTAACTAAATAATGATCCCATATATTTCCTGTACTGTCTACTTGATATAGTAAATATCTTGCCAAAAACCTATCTCAGTAACTAAGTATTTGACTAAGCACAACTATACCCCTCCTAGCTATACACACTTTAGCGTCGGTCCATGGAGTGCTCAGAACCGGCTCTCGGCTCAGAACCGGCTCTCAGAACCCTTTCGTCCACGTCTGTTCACTGTTCTCACCTCCCATGTAGTTGCTGAGGTGGAGTAGGTGGAGGCTTCAGAGAGGAAAGACAACAACTTGTGCTACAGGAGTGCAAAATCAGGGTAAGTTCCAGCCTGCTTGTGGTCTCCTATTGATTGTCCCTTCTCATGAATGCCACCTGATGGGGGCTCACTCTTGTGGTCTCCCTCAGGACCCTCACTGCTCTCCTTTCTCCTGAGGTCAGGGGGCATCTGGCTGCTGTCCATGGAGGCTCCATTGGCCAGCTCTGGCCAGAGCCGCTCACCTGGACATAACTCTCAAGAGGAGGCAGCAAAGCCAGAGATTCAGGTCAACATGACCTCATGTCAAATAAACAGTAATTATAAATCATGAGGGATTTTGC